CTAAGTTCTTCAACTGGAAATTTCTGACCAGAACTAACCTACTTTGAATTTTCACTGGTCCACTTGCCTTGCTTCAATGATAAGCAATGGATTCTAATAACAGCAAACCTAGAGAGTGGAAGATTTTTTGATATTACGAATCCTGATGGGTCTGGACAAGACAGATTCACAACTATAATAAGCACTGTCTGTTACAATTTCAAGTCACTGTTTGCACTCACCTACCCTAACTGAAATGCATTCAACATCAAAGACTTTGACTACAGATTCATTGCAATTCCTAGAACTAATTTCAGGTTAAGCAGTTTCACTACTTATGTCACTAACAGTTTTTCCTCCAATTCATCCACATCACAGCCAAATAAATTTTGAAGTTATGGATTATTTGTTTTTTTAACTGGATTTGATTCTAACATGCTAGTTAACATGGTTTCATCAATGCAGGTACGACACATGTCTTTTTTCCTTCTTCAAATACTAAAAACATATCATGGCATGGGAGTTCTTGGATTCTCTACTGTAAGAGTTTCTTATCTTCTAAACAACATATTCTAATTGCAATTCTTTCATTTCATAGAAGAAAAAAATAATCAGATGATCATCACAACTGTGCAAAACAACTTGATCTCCAAGCTATGCGTGAAATATTTTTGTACGAGATTGCAACCTACCAAAGCAGCGAGGTCCAACTACCAGTCGTGAGGTCATTTCTTCAAAACCACGTAAGTTATAAACACCTCCCTGAATTCCATATTGTCTTACAGTAACATTCTTACTAAGGGAAGTATATACCAAAAAATTCAATGAATCTTTTTTGCTTTTATTATACAGGGTTTCTTGTCTTTCAAATAAAAGGACATTTTACAATCAAGAGGATGAACTGCTGAAAGGTATAATCTAAAAGAAATCTGTGATTCAAAAGTAGTACACTATTTCGCATGATCTAGTCCATAATTTATTAAAGAGAAAATGTACATACAAATTTATATTTATATTAACAAAATAAATGTACTTTGTTTTTAATTTTTTTTCAGGACCACTTGAGGGTGTAAAATGGTTCAGATCAGATTTCGACGAGCTTCACATATAAATGTGGAAACAAGGGTCAAGACCAGCCATTCTTAAGTTGTTTCTGGCTTCCACTAGTTTAGTTGTTCTAAGTAATACAACCCCTGCCAGTATGAATTTAATTATGGAGAAGTGATTGTATATTTTTTAATTCAGTTGTACTCCTAGAATAAAATTTCCTTTCAAAGAACTAAACTAGTGGAAGCCACTTCCAAATTCTGAAAGAATTCATTCACCAGCTTTCTGTGATTTTATGGAGATTTTCTATTGTTAAGAAAGTTCATACCATTTTTGGTTCAAGCATATTTTCCTATCGAACATAGTTTGAGATAAATTTCCAGTTCAAACTGTATTGGCGACACAGTGAACTAGCGCAGAAACAGTCGAAACAGTCAGCTAGGAACCCGCAGAAACAGTGAACTAGCGCGCTGGAACTTGGGCCGAACAAAGAATCAGCCCAAGAAGCGACCGCTGCAGGTGCCAGTTATCCTAATCGGCGCAGAAGGCGCCGACTAGGAGCTCCCTATTTGCATAATACTCTCCTTCCTTTTCTTTTTACTACCCATATTCTATCTTAAGTCAAACATTTTAAAATTATATCGACCTTATAGAAAAGAATATTGACATTCACAATACCAAGTTTTCTTTCATTTTCTTTCTTCTTTAGAGTAATACCAATGCACCTAATTCATTCTTCGTTAGAATTTTTTGTTTTGTTTTTACGTTGTATTTGTTAAATCTTTAATATTTTTTAAAATTTTTACTAGCAACATATTTTCTTTAAGCAGGTCATTGTGTTGATCTTAATTCCACACCTCAAAGCACGTGGTGTAAGAATATTGTATAAGTTCGATATGACCAATGTATTTTTTGTGGTTTGAATTAAAAAAATCAACGTAATGGTTGTTGAAATAAAAGAGTATAATAGGTGTTTTAGTTCACACTTTTGTGTGCAAGTTTACACTTGTTCTTGCACTAGTTTACACTTGTTGTTTCACAATACTGAATTGTGCAAGGTTTGAACATTTTATGTGCAATGTTTTAATATATTTTGAATCCTCTCTATATGAAAAAAAAGTTTGACAACAAGTCTTTATTATTGTCCATCTTAGGCATATTTGCATAATACCACCCTTTTTTCCTACCCATATTTGTCTTAAGTAAAAAAAATCAAGCTTATAAAAAAATTACTGACATTCACAATGCCAAGTTTTTTCTTTCATGTTCTTTCTTCTTTAGAGTAATACCAATGCCCATAATTCATTCTACCTTAGATTTTTTTTGTTTATTTTGGTATTTTTTTATTTGTTTAAGTTTAAGCTTTTTTTAATACAACAAATTTTGTTTAACCAGGTCGTTTTGTTGATCTTAATTCCACATATTATAGCCCGTAGTGTAAGAATGTTATGGAAATACGGTATGACCAATGTAATTTATTGTGTGGTCTTAATTTTAAAAATAGCATAATTGTTGCTAAAATAAAAAACCAGAATCAATGTTTTAATTCCCTCTTTTCTCCTCTCATTAATTTGTACAAGTATAGTGTATGCGTGTGCAAGCAAATATACTTGTTAAGAAAAGTTTTACATCCACATGCATAGTGTGTGCGCATGCACAAATGACAAATTTAGCAAGCTGATTGGATAATATGCATTTTCAGGCACGTGACACATAGGTGATCCCTGAATAGATTAGAAGTCTTCCCCGCAAAAAGAAAAAAGAAAAGGAAAAGAAAAGCAGGAATAGCTCGAATTTACAAGTAAGCAACGAACAGCGGGGCGCTTGCCATGAATAGGCAGTATGCATTCAAAACCGCGGTCACCATGGACGGCCAGCCGGCCACCCCTCGAAATTAAAGGCTGTGCATTTCGCATGCGTCCGGCGAGCCAAATCGCCCTGCCTCCATTGCTTCCTGATCACTCATTCCTACTCCCGGCCGGGCTCCCGGCCGGCCGGCCGGCAAGCACTACAAGATGTTGAGCTGGCTCCGTTGTTTCCCGCACGACGGCACCGTCATGGACGAGGAGAGGAAGCCCAGGCCCGGGAGGAGCGCCACTTTCAGGAAGAAGCATTGCCCCGATGCCGCACCGTCTCGGAAACGGTTCATCCGCTCGGGCACCTCGCTCACCGCGTCCTCGTCGGCACGAGCCAGCTTCGGCCGCCACTCCGTCGACGTCCCCAACTACAACCACAGCATCGTCTCGGCGCGCTCCTTCACCTTCCCTGAGCTCGCCGCCGCCACGGACTGCTTCAGCCATGCCAACCTCATCGGCGAGGGCGGCTTCGGCCGCGTCTACAGAGGCCTCATCGGCTCGTTGGCGGTGGCCGTCAAGCAGCTCGACCGCACGGGGTTCCAGGGCGACCACGAGTTCCTCGTGGAGGTGCTGGTGCTGAGCAGCCTCCTGACCCACCCCAACCTCGTCGGCCTCCTGGGCTACTGCGCCGACGGCAACCAGCGACTCCTCGTCTACCAACTCATGCCGCTCGGCTCCCTCGAAAATCACCTCTTCCTCCCCCGAGTCCCAGCGGACGGCGAAGAGAAGCCACCACCGCCGGTTCTGCCGTGGCGGACCAGGATGAGGATCGCACACGACGCCGCCCAGGGCCTGGAGTTCCTCCACGAGACTGCCAACCCGCCGGTGATCTACCGCGACCTCAAGTCCTCCAACATCCTCCTCGACGAGGGATACAATGCCAAGCTCTCCGACTTCGGCCTCGCCAAGCTGGCCACACCGATCACCCGCAACGGCAAGGGCGGCGAGGCGGAGGAGGAGAAGGACGGCCCGTCGAGGGTGATGGGCACGTACGGGTACTGCGCGCCGGAGTACGTGAGGACGGGGCACCTGACGGTGAAGTCGGACGTGTACAGCTTCGGCGTGGTGCTGCTGGAGCTCATCACCGGCAGGCGGGTCATCGACGACAGCAGGCCCTCTGGGGAGCAGAACCTGGTGGCCTGGGCGGCGCCCATGTTCAGCGAGCAGAGGAGGATGCACGAGCTGGTGGATCCGCTCCTGGGAGAAGGGCCGAGCGGCAGGGAGGTGAAGCAGGCGGTGGCGGTGGCGGCCATGTGCTTGCAGGAGGAGGACACCGTAAGGCCCATCATGTCGGACGTCGTCATGGCGCTCAGCTTCGCCGCCGACGACGACTTGCCCTCTGCTCCCAGATACACGTCACTTTAGCATATTACTATATCTGGTGGCATTGGCTAACATTGTGTGGTTTTTATCTGGTGGCATTGGCTTACATTGTGGGGTTTGCGTCTTGACAAAATGAAATAATAAAACAGGGGATTTCGGCTCAGATTTCAAGTCGCAAACCTTGCAAAATACCATGAAACTCCTACATACTCCCTCCGGTCCGAAATATAAGATCATTTAGAGATTTCAATATAGACTACATACGGAGCAAAATGAGTGAATCTACGCTCTAAATATGTGGTCTGTATTGAAATCTCTAAAAGTGCTTATATTTAGAAACGGAGGGAGTACATACATATACAGAAAATAAAATATCGAAGCATGGCATATTAGTTCTTACCACAGGCTGAACAAAAGGAAACTCTTTAAAGACAGGAGACTACATGTACAGCAACTGACACTCAGTTCCTGCTAGCTAGCTAGCTATGCTACATACTTTTGCCTACAGGCAGGCACAATGGAGGAGCTTTGCACCCTTCCCTAAATTCTACTGCCTCCAAAGTGGTCACCATGAATCATTAAAGGAGAATGATAGAAAAAGAAAAAGAAAAACTGCTTCCTATATAGATAGATACCACTGCGTTCATTTTCATCCTTCTTGGAAAGACAGACATGGAGGGACAGTCAGTCCTGGATCACAAACAAAACCAGAGGAACCATTCCACCAAGCGGACAGCATACATCTCACACTCCGCGCCGACCAACCAGCAGTACGGGGGCACCAAACTATGGACGCTAATCAGAATCTGACTCAATGGCTAGTACGGATTTTGGTCGAACTGACCGTGGCTGCCCAGACAGTGAGGAAGTGCCACCAGATCTATCCCCAGCAAAGTCGTCGTCGTCATTGCCACTCATGAGAACTGAAGCTGCACACGAGGAATCAAATGTTAGACCTTTCGGTGAAAATGCAGAGGCACGATTATATGGGCCACTGCTCACTGTCTTCACAAAGTATAAAGAAGCAAAATGCTTCCACATTCATTTGTAAAAGACTTCAAATGGATGGAACAAAATCACAATAAACTGCAGAATTAAGTAGCACAGGGTGACTTCTATCATACCATCTAAAGATGTTATTTCATTCGCAGGGTTCTTCCTTTTCTGAGAAGTATTTTTGGCATTATTTAAACTCCCATCATTCCCATATTCTGGTTGGTTTGCTGCTGGTGCTAACACACCCAAATTAACCGTAGAAACTGGCTCGTGCAGAGATAGATTGGTAGCAGGGTAGTTTTGCACTTCACCCAGATTATCTGTTCCTTGTATTCCTGGATCATCTTGGGTAGTCGAAGGATACTCCCAAAATGACAACCCCAGATCATCAAAGTTTTCATTAAGGAAAAATGAAGTTTCATCTGGGCCTCCTGAAGTGTCAAGTGGATTGGGCGGTGGAAACTCATATCCGGTGTCATTTGCTGCGCCGCAATTCACTGTACTAGGAGACAACACCGTAGCATTTTCATCATCTGTGTCGCTCAGAACTATTGGAACATGTTCATCCCCAGGAGAAGAATTCAGATCATATACACTGCTCGTAGGGTGATCAGATTGTCCCGGTTCTGAATTATAACTTCCACCTTTAGCATCCTCATGATTAGTGTTGCTTGTATGGGTGACACATTTCCCATTTTCAAAGTCTCTACTCTGATCATTATAAGAAGTTGGTTTCAAATTAACATCCCCTTTCTTGCTAATTTCCCATTTGCCATTGTTGTTTCTCCTAATTCCCAGTTTTAGACGAGAACCCTTATTTTCAGGCAACGGTTCTTCTTTAATCTCTTGCTTTACAACACCCATGTTGGGTTTCGGTCCTGTACCTGTGGACATACAGAGAGTGCCATCTGGTAAATGCCACTGCATAAGATCCTTCAGTTCAGCTCCACCCTTAGCTCTCCAGGAACCATCTGGCTTGACATCGATTTCTGATAGATCATCTCCACAGCTTTTGATCTAAATCACCAAAACGCAACAAAATCAGCATAAGATGCATAATGGAGTAACAGAGATGAGAAAACATGTACTTCATTAACAATATGGACTCACTAGCGAAGTGATGCGATTGAAATAAGGATCAATAATTAGATTCTCCAGAGAATAGTTCTTCAGGCAAATTGGGCATTGCCACTGCAGACAAGGAATACTAGTTTGATTAGAAAAAGAAAAGGTAAAAGCAACAATGATGCGAGGCAAGTAATCAAACCTTCCGTGAACGTTGATTCAGTTCCACAAAAGCTTCTAAATCAAAACAACCCATGTGGACACAGGGTTTGAACCTACCAGCTACCTTAATCCTTGAACCAGTCATCTGTCAACATAAATTAGCTTTTACATGAACGTGCTTTTCACAACATAACATTAGATCGTAAATGGCTAACTTTGTGACAAGGTCTGCAAAACATACTATAAACCAAACAATACGATGCTGCCAACATGGGATTGTATAGCATCTAGGTTAGAAATGTCATAAACAAAGTGATTCTAGGAAGATTGCACCGAGCCTTGGGTGTCATGGTACACAGAATAATGTATGATGGCAAATGCTAAATATTCAATATTCCAATGTACATGAGGTCAGGTGCAACAGACATGTCAGGGAAAGAGCAGGATTGGCAATATCATTATGGATCTAAACATTCTCATTGATGGCCAGAGTGCTTACAGGGCATCGAAGATTTACAGAGACTGAATCAGCAACAACCTCAATATCACTATCACTGTCTGCATTATCTGCCTCAGTCCCCCCACCGACACAGCGACGCACACGAGAAAGGGCATCATCAAACTTCTCACCATCCTGTTCCTTTGGTACCAAATTTAGGACCTGCCCATTATCAAAATTTTAAAAGAGGAATTAAAAGAATAAAGCAGGGTTCCAAATCTCAGGCACTTGATGGTTCCTAAGTAGCAGCTTGCTTACGGTAACTGCTGAAAGAACCATTCTGGCATTTTCCTGGAGCTTGTATAGACATTACTTTTTAACAGCACAGTTCACTTGTAACCAAGAAATATGGGCCAGGAACCATCTGGGATTTGGAACCCTTCTATAACGTGCATTATTAGAATTATGACATCTTTCATCAACCTAAAATAGCTACCCTCTTCGAGGCCTAATAATTAAGCACTAAAGATTAAAAACAAGAAAAACCAAAACATTTACAGCGTTGATGGAAAAGGGAGTGCCTATGAAAAAAAAAGATATCTAAAGTGTTTCCTGATCCAAATACCCTCTTTTGCCAAATATGTATTTCTGAAGAATATCGTGGTCAACAATGGAAATGTGGAATTGAATTGCCTTTCATGTGACACAGTATACCATAAGCAATTACCTCTTCCAGAGATCTCCTCTTGGCAATTCTGACACCCAAACAGAACGCACGAGAGTCACTTCTAGATAGAACAATCTTATTGGGACCTTCTTTCAAAAACTGTGTTAACTGGGAGCAAAAAATTGAGTAGGATCAACAAACATCCATGCAGAAAATGTATCATGAAACTAATCAACACATTTTGGCAAATCATTGTTAAGGTATAAAGTTAAAGAACAGCATGCTCCATTTCAACAAGATACTTACCATAAGACCATCATCTCTACCATTGGCCCCTAACGGCTGTGTAGCTTGCCTGCTGACAACCCGAACAGGAATACCTGAGAAAACAAATAATTTCCAAAACGAATAGTTCAGATCTAGATGAATGAACCCACAATTCAATGAGGAAAAACAGTTTTTAGCTGCCACAAAATGTTCCATGTAACCATGCTGGAAAAGACTCGGATCACACCTATATCTACAAGGCAGGAATGATGCAGAACTCAAAGTATTAAATTCCTAAATTGACAACATAGTGGCATGCATAAGTGCATTAAGCCATAGATGCATACAGGCCTGCATCCACATAAGACTCATAATAAGTTAAGGGGATGCAGCATAAAATGAGCGAATAGCATCAGTGCATGAGGGCGATCAAAATTGAATACAAAAATAAGATGAAACTGAAATTTGACTGATCCCACAAACAACAAATTGACTGACTGAATAAATAACTTCCTATAAGAGCCTGTCAATAGTATTTCAGTACAAATGGTAAGCCAATGGAAATACCATTAATTTGCATGTCAGAATGTAAAGGCCAGTGCATCCTGAAAGGAACTTTGTCATCGAGAAGGATACACCAAACCTGCAAGAAATAAATGGTGCAAAGCAAACCAAGGTCAAAAATGGATACACATAGTCCAATATTCTCTAAGATGACGCAAGATACTAGAAATTGAGCACTGTCACCATGTATTAACTCATAAGTCCCAAACATATCCTTGTTATTGATATTTGATCTTGAGGTAATTGTGCTCCTGGTACAAGAACTTGGCAGGTGCTTCCATACAATACATCAGAGCTACAATAACTTGGCCTGGACGTGCACTTGAGGTACAAATCGCTCCTGTGCTGACACATGGACGCCAATGGGGCAAAGTGCATGCGCTGAGCTGCTTGGATTCTTTGCAAAATGGCCCCTGCAAGTCTGAAAGTTTGACCGTAGTCCCCTGGGCACCATAGACATCTAATTTGGGACAATAAACCTGACTAGACCCAGTCATCTCACGCGCTTAGCGTTTCTGGCCGTCCATTTTCCTGACTTGGGCGTTTCTGGCCATTAGATCTGCCATCTAAGGAGCTGCTGCTCCAGGAGAAAAAACGAAGCTCTCTGGTTAACTGGGCCACTTCTGCCAGCCCATTTATCTAACCGAGAACGTTCCAAGAGAAAAAACTGTTCGCTCAATCGATGGGCAGTCGATACAACCATCAACATATTACGCATCTCACACGATGCCGCTACACATGGCTAATCTCGATCGCCTCCACCCATCGGTGTCCGACAACAATGGTAGCACTGCTGCTCAACGACCCTGCGACCGAGCTCCCTCCATCGATCGAGCGAACAGTTTCTTCTCCTGGATCATGCTCGGTTAGATAAATGGGCTGGCAGAAGTGGCCCAGTTAACCAGAGTGCTTTGTTTTTTCTCCCGGAGCAGCAACCCCTTAGACAGCACATCTAATGGTCAAAAACGCCCAAATCAGGAAAATGGACCGCCGGAAACGCTAAGCGCGTGAGATGACTGAGATTAGGTCAGTTTTACTGACCTAAATTAGATGTCTACGGTACCCAGGGGACCTCGACCAAAATTTCACAGACTCGCAGGGGCCATTTTGCAAAGAATCTGAGCAGCCCAGCGCATGCACTTTGCCCCGCTGGCGTCCATGTGTCAGCACAGGAGTGATTTGTACCTCAAGTGCACGTCCAGGCCAAGTTATTGTACCTCCGCTGTAGGTTTTGTAAGTTTTTGTATGAAACTGAGCCCACCAGCCAAGTTCTTGTACCAGGAGCACAATTACCTCTTTGATCTTTTTAGCAATGCACCAACTCCGTCTCAAAATATAAGACATTTTTTTAGGCAAAACTAGCCTACAAAAACGTCTTATACTTTGAGACAGAGGTAGTATCTAATAATATATGATCATACAAATGGTTATTTAAAGTAAATCATGAACAAACCTAATAGTTCAAGGAAACGAAGAAGGAAACGAAATTAACCTGAATGTCATATTCAGCTTTCTGTAGCATTTCCCTATTAGCTCTTGATAACGGAAAGGTTTTCTCGATATACTGTACAGTATATGACCTGAACATAAGCATGAATCACAAACAAAAACTATGCAAATCGCAGAAGTATCATGGTTCAGCTAACTTGTACAGTGACATAAAACAATTTGTGGTCATCTAGTTACTCAAATCTCATGGTACCAACATGTTCATTAGATGTACAACCACCGTATAATGTTTACTTCTTATAGACAACGAAGGAATAATCATGAACAGAACCATCTGAGGTTGTAAAGCAAGAAAAAAGACACAGAGCCCGCTTCTCATCCATAATTAATGTGATCGAGTACCTGGGTTCTAAGTATTGAGGTAAGATCGCTCAAGCAATAATATCACCACAGCAGACAAAACACAAAGTAATTACTAGCAGATAATGTCTGACACATGGTGAACAAAAATCCCTAACAGGATATACTGAATGGTTTCTAGACCTTGCTTTGGCACCCTGATAAACATATTATGAATGATGAGGCATGGTATAATCACTTCTTTGCACTCAAACTTTACCGGACTCATTTGAGATCGCTCTACAAAAAAGGAGATGCCAGCGGAGTTACAACAGTAATTAAGAACAATAATTTTTTGCTTATTAGACATTTTGCAACATGGTACAGTTGAAGAGATTCTGGAAGATATTCCGCGGCACATAAAACAGAATGATGAAGGAAAATACTTGCTCCCCCACAAGGCCAATCAACAGGGCACAGAGGCTCCTGGTCAGAATGATGAAGGAAAATACTTGCTCCCCCACAAGGCCAATCAACAGGGCACAGAGGCTCCTGGTCATTGACGGGTAAAGGGAGGTAGAGGAGGTGAAAATCAAAAATGTACTTTGGAGACAAATAATGCATGACTTACCCATCTGCCATTATGTTCGAAGGAGCTACTGACACTGGAAGTAATGGGTGGTTAATAGTGACCCAGAAACTGCAAATTGCAGAAGGAAAATATGTCAGAACAATCGGCCATTTAGTATTAAGACTTCTAAGCTACAAATGCAGAAAAGGCAGTCATTCAGAGCGGGGGGAAAAGAGCGGACATAAAAGAGATGCAGGAAAATCAGTTCTAAGTTGCACAGTAATGAGAGTTTCATACATGATTACAATTAATGCTACAGGACGACCCAGATAATCTAATTCAACTAATAGAATGCATGAACACTATCCAATACAAATAAACTGAAACATCACATGATTAATAGCACTTGCACATCACCAAAAATTAAAACTAATTAAACAAGTAAATAGTGAGCATGCATCATTCAGCAAGGGTTTGCTATTAAACTGAAGGTTAGAACAACTTACGGGTCTGCCCTGCTGACTCGGCACATCTCACAATAGAAACTGGAAGGTAGTTCTTGAGGAGCAGTATCTGCAGTCTTCTCAGGTATGATGACACAATCAATATGTTGCCATACACTGCATCTTGGATGATCACACTGAAAAGGACCAAACAAAACATGAAGGAAATAGAAGCAGTAAAACCTGTCAAGAACAAAATTACAGAATGCTACAGATCTCTAAATTATGGAATAATGAAACACTTAAGTGTTACACTTCATAAAATGTTGATGTTACACGTAGATGCAATCTTCTTTTACAAAACAGAGAGTAATCGATGGCAATTAGCTCCTTTGAAGTTTCACGATACATAAAGATCACTGCTTTGAAGTTCCAGAATATGCAAAATGCCAAAGCTAACTGCTATGATAATTCAACAAACAATTCTTAAAATTAACAGGATTAATGAACAAATTTTAAAGATCTTATTGAACTAGTTGGAGGTGATGAATAACAGAACCTAGCAGCCATATAATCATACTTGTCATGGGAACTGTACCTGAATCATGGACCCAGTGGCCTAACAGGATTAATGAACAAATTTTAAAGATCTTACTGAACTAGTTGGAGGTGATGAATAACAGAACCTAGCAGTCATATAATCATACTTGTCATGGGAACTGTACCTGAATCATGGACCCAGTGGCCATGGAACTACCACAGGGGCAACGGACCTTGATATCCAGCTGAGCAGAATCATCTGGGTTTTTCATAGGCATTACACTGTACCCCAGCTCATTCTGGTTTCCAGAAGCTGAAACAGCATTTGCAGGCTCGCGCATTTTTCTAGAAGTAGTAAGCACAAATCAAGAGAGACTTGTAAGGCTCAATCCAGATAATAGAAACACAACATAATGATATGAAGAAATGCAACCTCACCTAAAAGTGTCCTCAACTATTTTCACTACCGTTTCTTTTCCAACCATCAGTCTGTTTGGTAAGCCATCAATTTTGGAGGCTACAAAAATAAAATGGAAGTGATACCTTAGGACCTCCTGGCAGAAACACTGGTCTAACAATATCACTGAGAAAAAATTGTGATGTACCTTGATCCTGTTGATCGGATAATATTGCAACAATTTTATCCACTAGTTCCTGTAAAGCAAAATACCAAAACGAAGTTGTTCAGGAGTAAATGAATATTCTACTCCCTCTGTTCACAAATATAAGCTGTTTTGGATATTTCAATATGGACTACATACAGACTGAAATGAGTGAGCAAACACACTAAAACGTGTCTATATACATCCGATTCAGAAAAAAGTTAGAACATCGTATATTTGTGAACGGAGGGAGTAACATATAATACTACAAGACGCATGGAAATTAATCAGTTCCAGAAAAAAAAATCCATGAAAATCCAATCTATTCCGTGCTTACGAACAATAAAGAGAGCCTAGAAGCATATGACCAATGGATAGTAAATCAATACCTGGAATTTCATTGTGTAAAAAGCGTAGATATACCAAAAAAAGAAGAAGCTGTGAACAAACCTGTTTCTTTCCATGCTTTGAAAGTCCAATCTTACACAGGACATCCTTTAGCTCTTTTAACCGGAAGTGCTTCAGCTTGTCCTACAAAAATGAAAAAAACATTTATTCGATAGGCCAGATGATAGACTGATAGTCATTCTCATCCCTCTGCTTTGTAAGATATAAGCATCTTGCCAACATCAGACCGGGTATTCATACTACACTGTCCCCATTAATTCTGCATAAAGGGTAATGCAAACACGGACAAGTTCTACCAGGTGATCTGTTGCGAGGGGGCAAAAAGGGGGCGCATTTTGGCTATTGATATGACCAATCGAGAGTGCTTTTTGTCCCTAGCCGGATAAACAGGGGATTAAACAGAGGGATTTCAAATCTAATCAAATGAGCGCAGAAATTATAGGCTATCAGAGGGGATCATCGGAGAGGGCTTTAGAACCCATCGTCAACAGATTGAGCGCGCAGACGCATATACGTAAGAGGAAGGAAAGGGCACAGACGGTCGCCGTGTCATACCTTGCAGGCGGCGAGCACTGGATCGCCGCCGGGCGCCGACGCCATGGCGGCGGTTTTTCCTGGATTCCGATGGGCGGGCGGCCGAGAAAGGAGGAGGGAGGAACGGCAGCGGTTTGGGTGGGGCGACGGAAGGGGGTCGGGAGGTGGGAGAAGGTACCGGAATGATCGCCGCCGCACGAGGGCACGGGAGAGGGGTAGTGTTGGTGTGCGGCGGCGGGCCGGCGGGCGTTACTTGCTGCTGCGCTGCACTTTTTTTTGGTGGTGGGGCGAGGAAGGGGTCGGATCTGCAAGCGACACGTGTACCCTGCAAGGGCTAGCTCGAATCTCAAAGCGCTCTCCCCCACCACCGTATGCTCTCTGTTCCTGTCCTTCCGGTATGCATTTCCTCCTGAACACAAGGCGGATAGATTTTCTTGCACTGGTATCTTTCTTTGTTCCTGCTCTCTTCAGAAGCGTACTACTCCTACATTTAAGGAGTATAGTGCCTTATTTAAATTTAAGACATGCTTAATATCCTGTCGAATTTGTCATGTATGACATTTTTGTCTTTCAATTAATGTTTGGTTACGAGCGTAGATTTTTCACTAGACGACTTAGAGCATCTTTGACCCTATAGGGATATCCGACAAAACATAGAGCTGTTAGAGCTATTGAAGAGTGAGAGAAGCGTATTGCCTTATCTCTGACAAGGAGCCTTCGTGATAATAAATATAGGAGATCACATCAAGTATTACAAGTGCAGGGTAAATGTAAAGTCCTTTTAGAGGATTCCACGATCTAATCTAGAGTTAACGACCTATCCCTCGTGTGCCTGGATCGGTTACATGATACAGAATATGATACGAGCATCTCTAGTTGAACCAACGAGAAATTCTTGAAGTTAGTACAAAGTTGAGTCATCCATTTTGAAACGGAGGGAGTAACTTAAAGCAGTCTAATTCATTCACGAAATACATTGAAGTCCTAGAAAATTACCATGGCGAAGAGGAAACACCCCCTCATTTTTAAATATTCGGCACAAAACTACCTCAAACTGTTCCATTTTTTGGCAGGAGGAGACTTCCATTTGCACCGTCGATGGTGGGCACGATTCACCGCCTTCCGCGCTTACCTTCGGCTCCACTGAACTCCTCACTGGCCTCTTTGAGAGGTTGCCTCTTTCGCAACATCCACAAGAGCACACGTTGTTGTCGTCGTTCTCTCCCACCGCCGAGTCACTCCCCGAACCACCTTCGGGCACAAATGCATTTCTCGGCTGTCGCTACACCTCACTCTTGTTGGAAAATATGCCCTAAAGGCAATAACAAATTGGTTATTATTATATTTCCTTGTTCATGATAATTGTTTATTATCCATGCTAGAATTGTATTGATAGGAAACTCAGATACATGTGTGGATACATAGACAACACCATGTCCCTATTAAGCCTCTAGTTGACTAGCTCGTTGATCAATAGATGGTTACGGTTTCCTGACCATGGACATTGAATGTCGTTGATAACGGGATCACATCATTAGGAGAATGATGTGATGGGCAAGACCCAATCCTAAGCCTAGCACAAGATCGTGTAGTTCGTATGCTAAAGCTTTTCTAATGTCGAGTATCATTTCCCTAGACCATGAGATTGTGCAACTCCCGGATACCGTACAAGTGCTTTGGGTGTGCCAAACATCATAACGTAACTGGGTGGCTATAAAGGTGCACTACGGGTATCTCCGAAAGTGTCTGTTGGGTTGGCACGAATCGAGACTAGGATTTGTCACTCCGTGTAACGGAGAGGTATCTCTGGGCCCACTTGGTAGGACATCATCATAATATGCACAATGTGACCAAGGAGTTGATCACGGGATGTGTTACGGAACGAGTAAAGAGACTTGCCGGTAACGAGATTGAACAAGGTATCGGGATACCGACGATCGAATCTCGGGCAAGTACTATACCGCTAGACAAAGGGAATTGTATACGGGATTGATTGAATCCTTGACATCGTGGTTCATCCGATGAGATCATCGTGGATCATGTGGGAACCAACATGGGCATCCAGATCCCGCTGTTGGTTATTGACCGGAGAGTTGTCTCGGCCATGTCTGCATGACTCCCGAGCCCGTAGGGTCTACACACTTAAGGTTCGATGACGCTAGGGTTATAGGGAAAGTATGTACGCGGTTACCGAATGTTGTTCGAAGTCCCGGATGAGATCCCGGACGTCACGAGGAGTTCCGGAATGGTCCGGAGGTAAAGATTTATATACGGGAAGTCCCGTTTTGGTCAACGGAAAAGTTTCGGGTGCTATCGGTAACGTACCGGGACCACCGGGGGGGTCCCGGGGGTCCACCGGGTGGGGCCACCAGCCCTAGAAGGCTGCGTGGGCCAAGTGTGGGAGGGGACCAGCCCCTGGTGGGCTGGTGCGCCCCCCACCAAGGCCCACGGCGCAAGGGAGAGTGGGAGGGGGCAAACCCTAGGTCCAGATGGGCCTTAAGGCCCACCCTAGGTCCAGATGGGCCTTAAGGCCCACCCTAGGTGTGCCCCCCTCTCTCCCCCCTTGGCCGCCACCCTAGATGGGTTTTGGGGCTGCCGCCATCCCTAGGGAGGGAACCCTAGATGGGGGCGCAACCCCTCCCCTTCCCCTATATATACTTGAGGTATTGGGGGCTGCAAGACAGACGAGATCATCTCTCTCTTGGCGCAGCCCTACCTCTCTCCCTCCTCGTCTCTCTTAGTGCTTGGCGAAGCCCTGCTGGAGTTCCGCGCTCCTCCACCACCACCACGCCGTCGTGCTGCTGCTGGACGGAGTCTTCCCAACCTCTCCTTCTCCCCTTGCTGGATCAAGGCGTGGGAGACATCACCGGGATGCACGTGTGTTGAACGCGGAAGCGCTGTTGTTCGGCGCTTAGATCGGAATCAACCGCGATCTGAATCGCTGCGAGTATGACTCCTTCATTCGCGTTCTTGCAACGCTTCCGCTTAGCGATCTACAAGGGTATGTAGATGCACTCCCCTTCCCCTCATTGCTAGATTACTCCATAGATTGATCTTGGTGATGCGTAGAAAATTTTAAATTTCTGCTACGATCCCCAACAGTGGCATCATGAGCTAGGTCTATGTGTAGTTTCTATGCACGAGTAGAACACAAGTTGTTGTGGGCGTCGATTTTATCAATTTACTTGCCGTTACTAGTCTTATCTTGATTCGGCGACATCGTGGGATGAAGCGGCCCGGACCGACCTTACACGTACTCTTACGTGAGACTGGTTCCACCGACTAACATGCACTAATTGCATAAGGTGGCTAGCGGGTGTCTATCTCTCCCACTTTAGTCGGATCGGATTCGATGAAAAGGGTCCTTATGAAGGGTAAATAGAAATTGGCATATCACGTTGTGGTTTTGGCGTAGGTAAGAAATGTTCTTGCTAGAAACCTATAGCAGCCACGTAAAAACTTGCAACAACAATTAGAGGACGTCTAACTTGTTTTTGCAGCATGTGCCATGTGACGTGATATGGCCAAAAGGATGTGATGAATGATATATGTGATGTATGAGATTGATCATGTTCTTGTAATAGGAATCACGACTTGCATGTCGATGAGTATGACAACCGGCAGGAGCCATAGGAGTTCTCTTAATTTATTTATGACCTGCGTGTCAACATAAACATCATGTAATTACTTTACTTTATTGCTAAAGCGTTAGCCATAGTAGTAGAAGTAATAGATGACGAGACAACTTCAAGAAGACATGATGATGGAGATCATGGTGTCATGCCGGTGACAACGATGATCATGGAGCCCCAAAGATGGAGATCATAAGGAGCAAAATGATATTGGCCATATCATGTCACTATTTGATTACATGTGATGTTTATCATGTTTTACATCTTATTTGCTTAGAACGACGATAGCTTAAATAAGATGATCCCTCG